ATATATGTGCTGCTTGCCCAGTCAGAAAGCTAGGCTCCATCTCAGGCGATGGGTGATCAATAAAATAATTGCTAATATTATTAAAAGAAATTATTATAATCTGATCTTAAAAAAAAATCAAATTTAATAGTATTTAATGGAATAAAATCTGGAAAATATATATTTTTTTTATTATAATGAGTTTTAACTGACTTTCATGAAGGACGACAAAAAAAGTGAAAAACAAATGCTATAACCTTATTTGAAGAAAAAAATAGAATTAAATGGTATTTAGTGAAATAACATCCTAAATATAATTTCAATTATTTTGTTAAAAATTAAGAAAAAAATAAAAGGTTGTTTAAAAAAAGGTTAATCGCCAAAAACAAAAGCTATAACCTTATTTGAAGGGGAAAAAAAAGAATTAAATGGTATTTAATGAAATAACATCCTAAATATAATTTCAATTATTTTTTTTAAAATTAAGGAAAAAAATAAAAGGGTGTTTAAAAAAAACCTAATCGCCTAGAACTTGGATGGCCAGCATGAGCGGTAAGAAAAAGAAGAAAAAGAAGAAGCGCGTGGGCTTGCATATCAAGCCTGCATGGCCTGCAAGTAAAGCAAATGATGCATTGTTTGCCGATGCAAATTCCTGCTGCTTAGCGTAGTTGAAAAGTTAAGTTCCGACTTTTTTGACCCAACAAACCTACTTTTCACACGAAAACAGTTAAGAAACACCATAGAAAGCTTAATAAACCAATTTATAAATTCAAACCATCCTTTAATTTGTAAAAAAAAAAAACACAAAAATAACCTTTTTAATTTGTAACAACAATTTTTTTTTAAAAAAAACTTAAGAACTGAAAGAAATAATAAATAAAATTTTGAATTAAAACTTAAAATCCTAAAACTAAATGGTCAAAATATGAAGTTAATAAATAACACGTAGACTGAACATACCTTTTCACACATTTGAAATAAATGTCGTTATTTTTTCTAGTTCACAGGTCTTTTTCTCTTAATCTTCTTTATACTACAAATTCAAACCATACCTCAAGAACATTCGAAGAAAAAAAACAATCAACCCCAAAACACCGCAAGCAGAGATGTAGGGATGCAATCGAATAAACAAAAGTTCAGCAACCAAAACAAAAAAGTAATCCACTATTAAAATCAATAATGAAATGTTTATCGGGATTCCTGTTAGAAAAAGGTTACGAATTCGAAATGGCAGTGACTGGAGATTCAGTTTCATTTTGCACAGTTTTTTTGGATACTAAACACGCACAACGTTAGGCTTGGGTTAAAATAATAATAATAATAATAATAATTCAGTTTAAAAATTAAAAGTAAAAGTAATTTAATTTAATTTAACCAAAGTTACAGTGCTGTGAAAATGCGCCATACGCTGATAACAGCTGGGTGATACGCCAAAGATACACGACATTTCTCAACTGTACAGAGATTAACTCGACATCCTTTTCTAACTCAATACCTTTATCCTTCACTTAAGGAACAGGTTGTGAACAGTAGTCAGTGCAAGAACGTTACACGTTCAAATATCCTTCAAGTTCCGACTTCTATACAAAGATATGATAGCCTTTATGCAGAACTGCAGAAGGATTGGAGGCTTTTAAACATGTAAAACAACCACTCTTTTAACACCTGCCCAACTTAATTGTCTGCATTTATTCCAAAGATCCGAACCTTGTGCATATTCGGGAACTTGGCAACAACAAGCACCATCACAGCAAGAGTGTTGAAAATGAGCATTGGATGTTGATAGTCAGTTGTGTGTGAGGCAATCAAGTACCTGCCAGAGACAGCAAATGGAAGTATAATCTCAATTTCAAGCATGGGAAAAAAACATCAAAGTAAATTTAAGATCAGTGTAAAAGAATGCTTAGCTTGAATGGCCAACCAATGCATGAAATGAAACACACAGGGCTTGCCAACGCAAGTGTGTTCTATTACAAA